GGGAGCCTCGTGCCGTGGCGTGGGCCCCCTCCGGCACCCGCAGGTTCCAGCTGAGCCCCTGGGATGGAGGCAGAGCCTGCGGGGCGGTCAGGGAGGACAGGATCGGCTCCGACAGCCGCAGCGCGGGATTGCAGTGGATCTGCCAGAAAGAAGCCGCCCAGCTCTGAGCCGGGGGGGCTGAGGCGTCACCCCCCGCTTTTCCCCCTCCTCTCGTGTTGTGCCAACAGCGGGGCAGGGAGCTGGCCCCTCATTTGCATGCTAATTTGCATATAACGAGGGTGCTGCAGGGGGGCTGGAGGTATTTGGGGGTCAGGACAAGCCACCCGCAGCGAAGACACCGGTCAAAAGCATCAAAATCCTCGATTACACCTAAAATTCACCATCACTGGATGCTCAGTGGAGAAAAAAACCGAGTCGTCGCGGGGTGAAAAACAATTCCTACAGCTCCGCGATCCGCCGGCAGCTTCATCCGGGCCGTTTACGCCGAGGTTTCGGCCGAGCAGAGGCGCAGCCGGTGCCCCGCATGTGAAAGCCGTGGCGAAAGGGGATGAAAAGTCTTTCTAAAAAAGAATAAAAAATAATTTGGGAAAAAAAAAAAAAAAATCCGCTTTTGGGGGGAAACTGAGGGAGGAGGTAGAAATCAGCTGGAGGGAAAAGGAGAATTTCTAACGGCTTTGTTGATGCCGAGAGGAGCCGAGCCCTCGCTGGAGAGAGGAGAACCCTGAAAAGGTGCCCAGGAAAACTGATTTCATGTGAAACCGGGATAATTTGGGCAACGGGGACGACCGTCAGCCATCGCTGGCCAAAGCCCTCGGAGGAAGGGGAAGGAGCACAGAGTGAGCGTGGAAGCGGCCATGGCAGTAAAGGTGCGTTAGCTTTTATTTTTATTATTATTTATTATTAGCGCAGATTTGGGGCTGGGTTGAAGGGAAGGGGCGCGGGGCAGCTTGGGGGGGGGCTCTGCCTTGGCGGCAACCGAACCAAATCCCATCTGTGGAGATGGAAACCACCGCCGGCGGGGCTGCAGAGCCAAAAAGCGCTTGCGGGGGGGAATGTTTCACCCCCAAAAAAGGCCAAAATTGGGAATATCCGCCTCGGTCCTGCGGCCTGATGGCGGTGAGGCCTACGCTCAACGTGACCTCCCTGAAGTGTGGGGACTACAAGCCCATGATGCACCGCGCCCGGCGCCCCCCCAAGGACTACAACTCCCATCAGCCCCCGCGCTCTATGGCGGGTGGGCGTGGCGTGGCGCGCATGCGCGGAGGCGGAGGCGGGCCCTCCGCCATCTTGTGCCGGTCCCCGAGCAGTGTGAGCGATGTGGGGGGGGTTCCTGTGGCTCTTAAAGGGGGCACGGCCCCGGGGTGGGGCCACCTCGGGTTGAGATGGAGCGCGGCCCGGCGGAGGAGGTTCGCCGGCGAGCGGGACGGCCGCGGCGGG